GGCACAGCGCCGGCCGTAGTGGCCATTTCAGGGGTGACTAAAGGAAAAAGGAAAACCTTTCTCTCTGTCTCTCTCTCTCACTGTCTAACTCTGCCTGTCAAAAAAAAAAAAAAAAAAACCTGTCCTTCCCCCATTCTGTGCCCATGCACTCTTGTGGAAATCAGTTGACTCACTGATCTCACAGAAGCAGAGACTCCAGTGGTTTTTACCAGCTACTGGGAGGAGGATGAAATGGAGAGCTGTTAGTAAATGGGTATATTAGTCTGCTTTTCATTACTATAATGAAATATCTAACACAAGACACTTAGTTCATCATAGTTCTGAAATTTCACAGTTCAACACTGTGCAAGCTCCAACGTCTGGCGTCTAACAATGCTGTTATCTGAGAATCCCAAGGCAGCACATGACATGAGGGAGGATGTTTATCTAGTGTTTGTCTATGTCTTTACTTACAAATCCTCCACAATATGATCATGGGAGTTCCACTTTAACTTGTCTAATCTAACCACTTCCCAAAGTCTGATCTCTAAACACTATAATAAGATTAAGTTTCCACTCTCTTAGCACCATTAACATAGACTATGAGGTACAAGCCTTTAACACATAAGTCGGGTGACATCCAAACTAATATCTAAACCATAGCAAGGGGTTCAGCGTTTCAGTTATGCAAGATGAATACATTGTGGGGACCTAATATAAAACAATGTGACTATAACTAACCACACTGTATAACATACAAAAAGGTAATAGTAAGATGGAGAAGAGAATGGAAGGCAGGAAGGAGAAGAGAAGAGTTAGGGCGAGTTTGGAAGGGGAGTGGAGGAGAGGGAGAGGAAAAAAAGGAAGGATGGGAGGAAGGAAGGGAGGGATGGAGGGGGGAGGACAAAGAACTCTCTTAGGTAATGGATATATTAATTATCTTGACTTGGTGACTATTTTGCAATATGTGCTTGTGTGTGAGTGTATGTACATAAAAAACTATCAAATTGTACACTTTAAATATATATATAAAACTTTAATTCTTAAATTAACCCTGATAAAACATGAAAAAAATCCCTTTATGGATTGTGTTTAATTGTCACATTGAAACATAATTATCTAAAAACAAAACAGAAGCAGTTAAAGTAAAAGCAGCCTTAGAACTGGCAGTCCCGTGAAAGATGTCAAGGATTTAGAACTGGAAGAGCATGGAGAGTAGGGTGTCAGATTCACATTAGCTTTCGTGGATAACTGGGAAAAAGCTTTGCAATGCCAGAAATTCCCATATCTCTATACAACAGATGCTTTTTTTCCTTCAAATTCCACAGAGGATCTTTCTGAGTGATAGTGAAGATCAGAATTATAGACTTATGAAAATGTGAAAATGTTCCCTCCACTATAATTTTCCACTTCTTCTGTCATGAGGTATTCTAATCCTACATAATCTACATGAGTTTCAAAAAATGTCACTGGCTTTTTTGAGGCCAAAGTAAAAGAATGATATTTGTCTGAACTATCTGTGATAATGAATAATGAAGAAAATAAGCCTAAAGGGGTAGAAGTGAAACATCTGGAAGAAAAATATCATGTCCTATATCCAATGAGTCAGAAAAAGAGAGAGATTCATACAGACAGAGAAACAGAGAGACAAAGAAGGAGAGGGCTCCTATTCACTCTTTTACCACCCAAATGCCTATAGTGGGCCTCAGGGCCCAAAGCCTGGAGCTGGAGTCTCAATCTAGGTTGTTCTTGTGATTTGCAAGAACACAGTATCTTGAGTCATCAACTACGGCCTTCCAGGTCTGTGTCGGCAGGAAGCCAGTCAGGAGCTCGTGTCAGGAGCTGAAACCAAGTAATGAGATGTGGGAAGTGGGCATCTTAACCAGCATCTTACCTGCTAGGCTAGAATGCCTGCCCAATTTCCATTTCTGATATCAACTCTTAGTTTTTTGGAAAAAGTCACTTAAAGCTCCTGAAAAATTAAGACTTTGAAATAATTCAGCAAATTATCATTAACAAAAATTATGTGATTATGTTTGCATGTGTGTGTGTGTATCTAAGACAGTACTTCAAAAATTTGTGGAAATTAAAAGGTAAGTATATTGGCCGGCGCCGCGGCTCACTAGGCTAATCCTCCGCCTTGCGGCACCAGCACACCGGGTTCTAGTCCCGGTCGGGGCACCGGATTCTGTCCCGGTTGCCCCTCTTCCAGGCCAGCTCTCTGCTCTGGCCCGGGAGTGTAGTGGAGGGTGGCCCAAGTACTTGGGCCCTGCACCCCATTGGAGACCAGGAGAAGCACCTAGCTCCTGTCATCGGATCAGCGCAGTGCGCCGGCTGCAGTGCGCGGGCCACAGCAGCCATTGGAGGGTGAACCAACGGCAAAGGAAGACCTTTCTCTCTTTCTCTCTCTCTCTCACTGTCCACTCTGCCTGTCAAAAAAATAAAAAAAAAAAAAGGTAAGTATATTACCTTTATTTATTACACTGAAATGCATTCACAGTTTTTCATAATAAACTTTTAAATAAACTTATGGAAAACTTCATATGCATGGGTTTCAAAACTGTTCTGCATCAAAATAAACTTATCTTTTAATTCCATTCCCCTGGACTTTTTTTAAGCACCCTTACATATTTACAGAAGTATATGAATATGTGTCTGTTGTACATGTGAGAAATTTAAGAGTATGTGTGTATGTTGTATGTATGTACATAATGATCTTTGATTTCACCTAGTCAAGGGTTCAAACTTTGCAATATTTTTATGGACTTCTTAAAATTAAATTATTTTTAATGTTTATTTTATTTCTTTTCATTTAATTTTAAAGGCAGAGAGAGGGTGGGGGATCCAGAGACACAAAGATCTTCCAGCTAATGGTGTATTCCCTCAAATATCTGGAAAAACCAAGGCTGAGCCAAGTGAAAAGCTGAGGGCCAGAAACTCCTTCCAGGTCTCCTACATGGACAGCAGGGACCTAAGTACCTAAGCCATCATCTGTTCTCCTAGGGTAAACAATAGCAGGCATCTGGATTGGAAGTAGAGACAGGGCTTGAAACCAAGCACTCTGAAATGCAATGTTGGTGTCCCAAATGGCAGCAAAACCTGCTTCAACAAAATGCACAATCCTCAAAATCCCCAAATGCTAAGCTAAGCTGTTTGACCTCAAATTATTTTGGGAATTTTTAGAGGATACCAAAAAATCTCAGATGATGTTTTTCTCTCTTTATTTAAAAAAATAAAATACCTATGTTTGTTTGATATGCTAAATTACATGGGAAGCATTCTTAAAAGTAAAAAATGATGCTTAACTCTATGTTTCTATATTGTGTGAATAAATATAGTTAATAGGTGCTTTAGAAATTGTATGGAATTCCTAGAAATCTGCTATATTCTGTACAAATTATCAGTCATAATTCCAGCTACCATCTCAAAATGTTGTATGCCATAAAAACAACCAAATTTCCTTATTAGTTGCAGCATTTGTTATAATAAACTCTCAGGAGATATTCAACCATAGCAGATTTAAGTGTTTTGTCATCTGTAGTCATTGTTTTGTTCTCATACTTTCCTGAAATGTTTTGCAAAATACTCTGAAAGCTACAGATATCTGATACCTTCCTGATTTCATAATGGGACTGGGTAAGAGTTTCCAAAACTCTAATGAAGAAACCGATGTAGGGGATGGCATTGTGGTACAGTGTTAAGCAGCTGCCTGTGATGCCAGCATCCCTATGAGCGTTGTTTCATGTCCCAGCTGCTCTAAGTATGATCCAATTCCCTGCTAATGTGCCTTGGAAAGCAACTAAGAATGGTCCATGTACTTGGGCACTTACTCCCACTTGGGAGACAGCGAAGAAGCTCCTGGCTCTTGGCTTTGGCCTGGCCCAGTCCTGGCTGTTGCAGGCAGTTGAGGAGTAATTCTGTAATTCGGCCTTTCAAATAAATAATTCTAAAAAAAATAAGAAGAAGAAGGAAAGAAAGTAAAAGGCAAAATGCAACAAAAAAAGCTGATGTTCTCATGAAACTGATAACATAAGATCAGGTAGGACCACAATTAATTAAATAGGAGCAAATGAGGTGACAAAGGCTGACTGTAGTTTTCGTCTCAGAATACTGCTGATTTTATTAATGTTTTGTTTGCAGATTCTCTAACAATCCCCTTTCCCTTTTCTCTTTAAGCCATTTATATAACTCACAGCTACTTGGTAAAGTAAATCTTTGTTAACAAAAGATGAAGTATTCTTATCTGATCCTTCCAAAATATTGTTGAATATTCTCATTTTCATGATAATAGCTATTTGCATATGCTAAATAATAATCTGTTCTTCCAGTAACTGGACATAATCAGAAACATGGTTTATATTACCAGGACATTCACTGGAATGCCTGGCTTTAAGGAACAAAGGCTGATTTTTATGCAGTCAAGGCTTATAAAGCCCTTTTAGAGAAAAAAAATAGTTTGGTACCTTCCTTAAAAGATCCCTGCCAGGGCAGTGCTGTGGCACAGGGGGTTAAGCCACCACCTGCAGCACCAGCATCCCATAAAGGTGCTGGTTCAAGTCCAGCTCCCTGCCAGTTTTCCTTTCCTGGGAAAGCAGCAGAAGATGGCCCAAGTACGTGGGCCCCTGCAACCTCAAGGGAGACCCAGACAAAACTCCTGGCTCCTGGCTCCTGGCTTCTGGCTTCATTTCAGACTGGCCCAATCCAGGCCTTTGCAGCCATTTGGGGGGAATGAACCAGAATATGAAAGATCTCTCTCTCTCTCTCTCTCTCTCTCTCTCTTTTTCTCTGTAACTCTGCCTTTAAAAGTAAAAACAAAAACAAAAACAACTCTGCCTTCATAAATGAATAAGGAAGGTCACTTCCTGAGGTCCAGAACCTTAACAGACATAGGAAACACTAAAAAGAGGAAATCACTGCAATCTGTAGAAACTGCAGACGAAATCTGTTGAAAAATTCCTTGGTTTGGCTTTTCAGTCTCAGTCTGTTGTTTTTTTTTTTTTTTTTTTTTTTTTTTTTTTTTTTTTAATATGGAATGCTTCACGAATTTGTCGGTCATCCTTGCACAGGGACCATGCTAATCTCTGTATTGTTCCAATTTTAGTATATGTGCTGCTGAAATGAGCACATAGTCTTTTAAATATACTCTGAATTCTTTATGAAAAGTTCCATCTAAGCAAAGTTAAAAATTAACCATGTGGTGCATAACCATTCTTCCTGCTCTTAGGTAAATAAGCAGGCCAGGCTTAATGAGATTAGACTCATTTTGCAAACAAATCAGTTCATTGTAATTCAATTTATGTAAGTAGGATGACTTTAGTAAAAAGCAAAAGATTTATAGATTCTGAAGAGAAACCAGAGTATTAGGATGACTTTAGAAAGAAGACTCTATTTCAACTGAAAACTACAGTATATTTTATGAGTATTAAATTCTAACCCTATTCATTGTCTTCAAGGTTTTGCTATTTACTTATAAGGTAAACTGGATCATGAATATGGAGAGATTCCAAAAAGAATATGAATGATCAGGCCTTACTAAGTTACTTCTACCCTATTACATTTTCTACAATATTTCACTCCTCATTGTACCTAGTAGAAAATGCTCAAGCTTAGCCTATCCTTTGGGCCCTCAATTGTTTAGGAATGCTCTCATATCACATGAATTTTGTATTAAAAAATGCATACTTTACACTTGTTTTTTTAAAAGATTTATTTCTTTATTTGAAAGGCAAATTTATAGAGCGACAGAGAAGTCTTCTAACCACTGGTTCTTCCATCCAACTGGTTCCCAGTAGGCCGCAACAGCTGAAGCTGTGCTGCTTCAAAGCCAGGAGCCAGGAGCTTCTTCTGGGTCTCCCACACGGGTACAAGGGCCCAAAGACTTGGGCCATCTTCCACTGCTTTCCCAGGCCATAGCAGAGAACTGGATCAGAAGTGGAGCAGCCAGGACGTGAACCAGCATCCCAAATGGGATGCCGGCATTACAGGCAGTGGCTTTACCCTATATGCCACAATGCCAGTCCCAACTTTATACTTGTTAATCTGTCTTTTATTATAGAGTCCCAGTACAAACAACAAAAGAGTAGAAAGAAAATATTTTCTCCTCCACTATGCTTCCTAGATTTTCACATTAAAAATAAACAATCTTATAATTTCCAGTTCTGAAATGATACAAATTTCACTAAGCTGTAATTGCAAGAAGTGTAAAAGAGGAAAAGAAATCATCTTTAAGATGGTAAGATCAGAAACATGAAATTAATTCTACTAAAACAATGTCATCTTTTTTGTAGTTGATGGGGACTGAAATGTTCTAATACTGTCGAGAATTTCATTGAAAAATTTTACAATGGTCTATATCATTCTAACACCTCAATCACACAACAAAAAAGCATATCATGAATTTGATTGTTGATGAAAACTTTGAATTATTCTAAAATTAAACAGCATACTTAATCCTGCATTTCACTTTATATTATTTCAAGGAATTAGAGGTATATTACTCAACACACTCAAAGGATTTAGTGAAGAATACACTATAAAGAATGCTAATAATATTTGATCTCAACTACAACTACTTTAATACTAAATTGACAAGTTCTGTAAGGTTGATACATTTTTATCCAATTTTCCAATCTGCCTTCGTGATACTTAACACTTTAATTAAACTAAACTGTCTCCAAATGATCCTGAAAAATAGTTTGCAAAGACAAACATTAATGTATTGCATATAAACAAAGGACAGAGCTTGAATAGTTTCATGTATGCATTTCTATGGAATATGTAATTATTTGTAGACATTGTAGTGAATGAAAATTAAATTGATTCTTCATTAAAATCACTTTGCAGAGTTAAGGGAGTTGCCCTTACCCAATAGGTATAAAGTATTATACTAAATTTACTTTTAAAGAAACTGCTTTAAGAAACAAATTATTTTAGCTTTAATATACAACACAAGAAAAAAAACCATAAAATATTGTATAATAAAAACAATTAACTGTTGGGGCCAGTGCTGTGGCACAGCGGGTTAAAGCTCTGGCCTGAAGCGCCAGTATCCCATATGGGCACTGGTTCTAGTTCTGGCTGCTCCATTTCTGATCCAGCTCTCTGCTGTGGCCTGGGAAAGCAGTAGAAGATGGCCCAAGTCCTTGGGCCCCTGCATCCACGTGGGAGACCTGGAAGAAGCTCCTGGCTGCTGGCTTCGGATCAGTGCAGCTCCGGCCGTTGCAGCCATCTGGAGAATGAACCAGCGGATGGAAGACCTCTCTCTCTGTCTCTACTTCTCTCTGTAACTCTCTCTTTTAAATAAATAAATCTTAAAAAAAAAAAAAAATGACTGGGGCCTGTGTTGTGGCACAGTGAGTTAGCCACTGTTTATAATGTTGCCATCCCATATAGGAGTGCTGGTTCAAGAACTGGCTCTCCCCCTTATGATCCAGATTCCTGGGAACGCAGCAGTGGGTGACCAAAGTACTTGGGCGCCTTTCAACCAATGGAAAACCAGGACTGAGTTACAGGCTCCTGCCTTCAGTCTGGTCAGGATATTTTGCAGATATTTGGAGGAGGGTCCCAGCAGGCAGAAGATCAATTTCTTTCTCTCTCTCTCTCTCTCTCTCTCTCTCTCCCCCTATCCTTTAAATAAATAATAAGTAAATCATTTTAAAATAAAAGAGCATTCAATTGAAGAATTGCTTCTCTGACACAAAATAGAAGAATGTTACCATCAGATTTTGTAAAATAATACATATTTTAAATATCTCACTGGATTTACTACCAAAGCATTTTTATGAACAATGATATTAGATTTTAATACTTCTATGTCTGTTTGTATTTTTGATTAACCACTTATTAATTCTAATAACAAAAGGTCATAGAGACTGTTAAATTATAAGAAATAAAATTAACATTATATCTTAGAGATTTTTCTTAAATAATGGATTATTTGAATAACTAGACTTGTTTTAATAAGCATTTTCCCTTGAATGTTTATTTATACCCTGACAAGGGAATAATTCACATTCAGACTACTGAACTACTTTTCTCAAAGGTTTAGAGAAACATTGGATACCTTAAGTAGCCAGAAATAGAAAAACAACCTATGTAGCTTGCTGATGATGACCTTATTTTGCCCTAAAGGTACAGATTAGGATTGCAATCTGCATCTCCCTGGTAGATTTAAAAGGGATGTTATACTATGTTTCCATGTATCATTCCTTCCATGAGCTTATAACATCATTGGAAAATTTATACCAGTGTACATATAAGAATTCCATAATGCAGTTTAATGCAATATGAGCAAGTAATAAACATGTCTTATTGATTATGTGTCAGTGGTGACACAATTCCAAGATAGAATGCACCCCTACTACAAATATAAAAGTATTCAAATATCCCTTCAAAATATCCCTTCAGTAATGTGATCCCCACTCAAAACAGACATTACTAGCAGATCAGATTTTGAAAAAGTTCTAAGAGAAATACAATAAGTAACAACAAAAGATAAATCACTAATTTACATTTCAACATTTAACTGCTCATAATCCAAATTTAATATTAACAAGCACCTCTTTGTTAAGGCAATTCATGACAGAAAACTTGCTATCAAAAATGGGCACTGTATATGTATCTAAATCACATCAAAATCAAAACAAAAATTTAATGTAGTATTGTTTTTATGATTTAATAATTAGAAAATTCATAAAATAAAGAACTCTGATTTAACCTAAATTTTAGCATATTATATTATTATGTAATAGTCAAATTTTATCTATTACATTATCATCTGACAGACATATTTGATAACCTGTATTTAATAAGGTAACCATTAAAATATTATACATTTTATATCATAATTAATGATATAAAAATTAATTTTATGTGCTATGTAACCATAACAGAATTTCTGCCCATTAATATCAATGTTAGAAAAATCAACATAACAAAAGCTCCTTATAAAATTTATAAACTAAAAAGCTAATGCTGAAATTTTTAAAGAAAGCAAAAACACAAAGATAAATTGATCATATAAAAAAGAAATAAATGATATTTTTAAAGAAGAAAAATAGTTTAGACATTGTTGCATGTAAAATCATTGAGCTAAAAAATAGTAAAGAGGGGCTGGCGCCGTGTCGCAGTAGGTTAATCCTCTGTCTGCAGCGCTGGCATCCCATGTGGGCACCAGTTCAAGTCTTAGCTGCCCCTCTTCCAATCCAGCTCTCTGCTATGGCCTGGGAAAGCAGTAGAAGATGGCCCAAGTGCTTGGGCCCCTGCACCCACATGGGAGACCCAGAGGAAGCTCTTGGCTCCTGGCTTAAGATCAGCTCAGCTCTGGCTGTTGCAGCCATCTGGGGAGTGAACCAATGGATGGAAGATCTTCTCTCTGTCTCTATCTCTCTCTGTAACTCTCTTTCAAATAAATAAAATAAATCTTTAAAAAAATTATAAACATGTATTATAATATTAGCATATAAAGAAATAAAATACATGATAACAATGAAAAAGATAGGAAAATATTCAATGTTACAAAGCTTAAAATTATTTGAAGATAGATTTTGATACATTAAAGATGCACAAATCCTCAGAACATGCACACAAATATGTACTGTAGCTTATATACTGATAGTAAGCAAAAGTAGAATACTAAAAAGCACTGATCCCAAATAATGAAAGAGGGAAAAGACATACATAAATAAGAGGGGAAAAATAGAGAATAAATCACAATATACTAACCTTAAGCCAAAAGATAGGCAATTACATTAAATTCTAATACTAGTAAAAGCAGAGATGATGAGTGGGCATTTGGCACAGTGGTTACAATGTCACTTTAGATGCCTGTGTCGCATACCACAGTGCAGTGTTTGAGTCTGGGTCTGCTTCTGATTCCAGCTGCCTGATAATGAGCACCCTGGGGACAGCACGTGATGGCTCGAGTCCTTAGTCCCTGGAACCAGTGTGACAGACCGAGATTAACTTCTGGACTCCTCCATTCACCCTGGCTCTGGTACAGCTCTTGTAGGCATCTGGGGAGTGAACCAAGATATGGAAGACCTCTCGGTCCTTATCTTTCTCTCCTGCTGCTCCTCCGCACGCGGAGGAGCCACACCAGACAGGACGCTTGTTGTTCCCTTTTTT